TTAACCGAATTTGACAACCGGACTAAAAATATGTAATTTTTTATGATTTTAGATATTTTCAAAGCGAACCTCATGTTGTAGCCTTTTTTACTTATTTTCAGCCCTTTTATTTATTCCCTTAAACTTCTGCTACTCCCCTCCCTATCGGCGATGCCATTCCGCGCATATCGTTTGACGACTTTATACTTAGACTTATCGCAATTTTTTCCTTCTTCTGTTTATATTCCAGGCGGGAGTAAATATTTTTCTAAACTCTTGACAGATTTAAATAAACGGATTTATTTTGTAGCGCATATCAAACATGAAGAAGAGTAATATTCCGAAGAGGGAGGGTATAAATTCAACATCCAATATGTTCTGCCTGGGGGCATATTTTCATATGAAATGGCTGATAAAATGTTAGGAAGAAGAACAACGACCGGATGTGTTGTGTTTCAATGAATGAATGAACGGACAAATGAACCGAGCTGGTTGACATGGAGGGGATAGGTTTAGTTTTAAAATGCTACAACAAAGTTGTATTGTAGGTTTTTTGTAGTCAAATGTTTGGATTTGGATTTTTTTAAACCAAAAAGTGAAATTCCCTTGGTTGTCATTATCTCGTGTTATACTTTCCAATTCTGGCAAACTTTTTTTGGACAGTTTTAAAGTCCACCAGGGCAGGAGGAACTACAAATAATTAGATGCATGTTTGTTTTTATGGTTTGTGGTTCTTTCATCATTCATCCCATTCATGGTTCGCCAAGTGGTTTTGCAAAGATAAAAATGGCTATGATGATTATGTCATTGAATGATTGTATTTCTTATTTCGTATTTCTATTTTTATTCAATAAATTTATGATCAACAAAAAACCGAAAAGAAAAAAATCATTTTGTTGTTGGCGGATCGGCGGCTTTCAGGCATTTGTGTTCAGCAATTTGCATAATAAATGAATGTTAATACGATTAAAAGTTATTTATCCGCTTTGAGCTCAACAAATTGTATGACTTATAAATACAGACACAGAGATAGATGAACACCTTTTTTGGGGGCAAACTTGTGTATATCGGTGGAAGTGCTGGTGATGGTGTTGATGTTGGTGACGGCTATGTGGATCATTAACCCATAGAAATTCTCAGTGTGTGCACAGACAATGTACACCTATAGACCATCCACCTACACTCTACGTTTTGATTGCCATCAACCGTCACCATCACTATCATCAGCATTGTCGTCGTCGTCCGTATGTTGCCTCTTTAGCGTCATGTTTTGCATGTGACTCTGCTGCTGCCTCAGTTATGACAAATGATGAATGGGTGGAGGAGGAGGCGGAGTGGGAGGTATATATTAATGCACACTGAATATTATTGCTCTAAATCTAATCAAATCAAATCAACAAGAACACAAAACACACTCAATCCAATTTAAATAATTAATGATTTAAGAAAAACATTTTTACTTGAAGTGACAAATTGTTGTTGTTGCAAAGCGAGGGCATAGAATGTCAGAAAGATGATCTGGTTCAGGTTATATGAAAAGCAGAGCTACATAGAGTTAATATAAAAAGGAAAGGCTGCAAGTAGAATATCGCGAAATAAAAAAGTCATATGATTCCCTGGTAAGCTATACGAAAAAAATCAGTAACCAGTCCATATGGTAGATCAACAAAAATACATCTTCTACATTAGAGGACCTCCTGTTATTTTTTGAGAAGGTATTCTGTAATTCTTCTGGTATTTCTTTATATCATACAATCTTTAAATATCGTCCTACTTCGGATCTGCTATAAAAGGACCTCTGAGTTTTCTTTAAAAAGGCCTACAAGACATCTATCTTCGGATCTTCTATAATAGGACCTCAGATTCTTCCATAAGTAAGCCGATTGGTATTTTACAAGAATATCATCTGGTTCCATAGAGACTGGTCCTCTATGAGAACAACTTCAAGTCATCTATTAGACATTAATTTCCTCTATAAGATTTTCTGGTAAGTTAAAGAAAGGTCATCTGGTTTCCTATAGAAATATCTTCTCTTCTTCTAATTCAAATTTTTAATTGGAAAACCCTTTCGATTTCTTATAGAAAGAAATCTAAGTTTTGTATAGAAAAGCCATAAAAGGTTTATCATGGAAAACCTATCCTTCCCTTTAAATCTGTAGATTTCCCCCGGGAAATGTAATAACCTTAGAAGATCAACTAAATATCATCTATTTTATCGTCTGATCTTCTAGTCGATCGACTTCTCTTTCCGTAGTAAATCGACTAATCCCCCAGTGTTCAATTGGAAACACTTCGAATTTTGTATTGAAAGATCTCCATGCTTTCGATAGAGGTGGCATTAACGGCTTCTATTTGAAGACCTATCTTTATCTGTGTAAATCAGTAGATTTTATCAAGAAAATTGTTATTTCATATCGATTAATTTTTTATTAAAAGATCGGCTGATCTTCCTCTAGTCGATAGTCTTATGATTTCGGATCTTATCTTCCCATAGAAAATCGACGTATCTTCTCGTTGAAAGACCTCAACATTTTTGATGGAAAAGCCATTGGGTAGATTTTACCCTATGAAATTGTTATTCGAGACCGACAGATCTTTCTTTAGAAGATCAACCGATCTTCCTCTAGTCGATCGACTTATGACTCCGTAGAACATCAACTAATCTCCCCATTGAACATCGACGAATCTTCTCGTGGAAGTTCCACAGATTTTCAAAGAAGTTAGACAGTTCTTGTCACAGAAAATCGATTGATTTCTCATTATATAATTAAATGATCTTAAATGAATGTCTGATCCTTCAGATCAATGACTGGCCTTAAAAATAGACCAATCTGTCCATAGAAGGTCGATTGATCTCTCCTTTGAAGATCGGCCTATTTTCTCATAGAAGAACGACACATTTTCCTTTCCATGATCCAAAGATCTTCCATTAGAAGAACTTTCTATTAGAAAATCGAACGATCTGTCCATAGAAGTTCGATTGACTGATATTCCCTGTAAATATCGACTGATCCTCCCTTAAAAGATCATCTGATCTTCACAACAAAGATCGACTAATCTTCCCATAGAACACCGACTAATATGTCCCCTCGGAAGATCGTCCGATCTGATCTTCCCACAGAAGATTGACTGATATTCCATGAGATAATTGATCGATCTTCCCTGATCAAATCAAATCGGAACATATACTAACCACTCTATAAAATATCAACTGATCTTCCCATAGATGATTGACTGATCCTCCCTTAAATAATAGACTAATCTTCCCTTAGAAAAATTAATGATCCTTCAATAGATGAATGACTGACCTTAACTTTAAAAAAACGACTGATCTCTCCTTAGATGGATGACTGATCGCCCATGATGGACTAATCTCTCCTTAGAAGATCTACTGAACTCTCCTTAGAAAATCAACATATTTTTCCATAGAAAATCTCAGATTTTCCTTTCGATGATCGACGGATCTTCCATTAGAAGTGCCTTTAAAGAATATCGATGGATTTTCCCCTGAAAGTCTCACAGATCATTTCATGGTAGGTAGACTTAAAAAAAATCAATTGATATTTTCGTAGATAATCGACAGGTCTTCTTAGAAGATAAGCTGATTTTCCCTTAGAAGATTAACTTATTTTCCCTTAGATATCTATAAAATGAACTGATAGCTCCATTAAAGGACATACCGTAAAACCGTGAAAGAGAATCGCATTAGAAGGCTATCCTGACTTCTGCAAAAAAATCATCTCCTTCCCTATATTTGCTTCTCAGACCTTGTAGGAGAGGGTCTGCTGATCTATCAGGAAATCTTCTGCTTTTCTAAGAAGTTATTCTAGGAAGACATGTTTACTCTTCTGAGAAGATGTTTACTCTTCTAAAGCCACAATCGTCTCCTCATAATATTTTTTTTCTACCGAACACAAAATTTAATAAGAAATTCAAAAGTCATTTTAATTGAAAAAACAACAATCATCTCCCAAAATGTTGTTATCAGCTGTGAGACCGCAATAAGCTCTCTACCAATTCCAAGCATCATATTAATCATGAGGATCGCCCATACTCTCCACACTCGCATGGGTCATTCATTAAGGCCGGGAAAAATTTAAATTTCTATTCCCACAACAATTGCGTAGCAGCATTTAATTCATTTCACATCGCGATTCTCGAGCAAGTGGTGAGGTGCAAAGACCAGATACGGTTATAAATTTCGCCCAAATAAAATTTCTTCTTTGGAGAGGTGGTGCAACAAATTTCAACATTGTTTTTCTTTTTGGAAATTTCCAAATAGTATTGAATGGAAATTGCACTCGTTTCATTGTTGCGCCCGTACATGGCCATAAACGGATGTGAAAAAAAAACTTACAGCCTCTGTGGTACCTCAAAAAGAGCTGTTGTGCCTCCAAAACGTGCCGTCGTTGTTGTTGTTGGCACAAATGATTGCAAAATCCGTTGATGATTTCATGTTACACATATTCCGTTTTTTTGGTTCGTTGTTTGTTGGAAATTTATTGGACCCAAGAGGAGATCAGTGTTTGGGCGTTTGGTTTGTTGCCGTCTGTTGTTCGACTAAAACCAAGAAAGGCCAAATTGTGTGTTTGGTTAAAACAAAATTAGAAGAAGAAGAAGCAGAAAAAATATCCAACTGTCTGGTGCATGTTGGCGTAATTTTCAAGTGTTTTTCTTGTTTTTTATTGGAATGCCTTTGACTTACTGACTAAATCTCTTCAAAACGTGTGTTGGCTGGCTGGCCGGTCGGTCCGTCCAACGTAATAATGATGCAATTGTTTATGTTGATATTACTGGTAATGTTTGATTGTTCCATGGTATGCGGCAAAGCATTCACCTTTCGCCTCAAAACCGCATCAAACATGATGCTGGGCAGTGGCAGTAGTGGTAGCATCGAGGAGGAGATGATCAGGGACTGTAATGAAATTCCAGTGTACTTTAGGTTAATTAAAAATCATTATTTATTAAATCGTATTTTTTTACTTCAAATACTAATTTTTCTTTCTGCTTTTTCTTTACAGTGAGGTCCTAGCTGCCTGGCGTGCCAAAGCAAGATGCAATGTTGTACCTGCCGAACGTACTCAAGAATTATTTCAAGAGCTGAGTTTTCATCCAAATGACAAACAGAGTAAGTTGAGATACATGCTACAAATCGACAGAACTTTTCGAAGATCAAAATCTCCAAAGAATATCGACAGATCCCTCCTTAAAAGTGAGACAGGTTTACTCCTACAAGATCGACTGATGTTTCTTTAGAAAATATACTGATGATCTTCCTTTTAGGTCAACTGATCTTCTCACAGAAGATAGACGTATATCATCTTTGACCATCGATCTTGTCCTGGAAGATCGACTGATCCTACCTTAGAAAAAGATTTACTGATCTTCTCATACAAGATAGATTGAATCTGCTTTAAAAATCCAACTGATCTTTCCATAGAAGATCCAATAATTGATCAACAAATCTTCAATCGTCCGAACTACCTTCAGATTATCGACAGATCTTTCCTTAGAAGATGGTCTGTTCTTCCCTTGAATATCGTATGATATTCCCTTGGAATCTCGACAGGTCTTCTCTTAGAAAATTTTAAGAATTTTCTTATAAAAGATCGATTGGTCTTCCCTCAGAGGATCGACTTACCTTTACTTAGAAGATCGACTGATCTTTCTTTAGTAGATTGGTGAATATTCCATTAGAAATTTGACTTATCTTTCCTCAAAAGATCGGCTGATATGCCCATAGAATATCAACTTATTTTTAATTATAGTATCTGCAGATTTTCCCATAAACGATCGACTGTTTTCCCATAGAAGATCAACTGATTTTAACATAGAAGATCAACTGATTTTAACATAGAAGACTGACTGATCTTCACATAGAAGATCGACTAATCGTCCTTAAGTAGATCGATTGATTTTCCTTTAGAAGATAGATTGATCTTCCCTTAAAAAAACGAATGATCGTTCTTAGAAGATCGAATGATTTTCCTTTAAATGACCGATTGACCTCCCAGAGATGATAAAATGATCTTCACTTCAAAAAATATTCCTTTATAGGATTTTCCTTAGAAGTTCCACCGATCTTCCCTTAGAAGATCGACTGATCTGCCCTGAAAAGACCGACTGATAAAACACCCATAAAATAAGGCTTGATCTTTCCATAGAAAAATGTACGATCTTCGCTGAGATAATTGATCGATTTTTCATGTCCTAGAATATAGGCTGATTCTTCCATAAAAGATCGATTGATCTTCACTCAGAAGATATTCCAATAAAATAGCGTCTGGTCTTCCCTTAAAAGATCGAATGATCTCTCCTTAGAAGATCGAATGAATCGAATATCCCCTCGAAGACCAGCTGATCTTTCCAGAGATCTTCACTGAGAAAATTGGTAGATCTTCACATAGAAAATCGGCTCTTCCCATCCCTTAGAACCAATTTCCCCCTTGGTTTTTCGGCTGACCTTTCCTTAGAATTTCGAATGATCTTTCCTTAGAATATCGAATAAATCGAATATCCCCTCGAAGACCAACTAATCTTTCCAGAGATCTTCACTGAGAAAATGGGTAGATCTTCCTATAGAAGATCGACTCTTCCCTTCCCTTAGAACCGATTTCCCCCTTTGAATTTCGTCTGATCTTTCCTAGAATTTCGACTGATATATCCTTAGAATCTCGACAGATCTTTCCTTAGAATTTCAACTGATATTTCCTTAGAAGATGAGGACGATCTTCCCTGAGATGATTGATGGACCTCCGCTCAGAAGAACGATTCATCATTCCTTAGAAGATCATCTTCCTTTATGTATTAACAAAAATCGTCTGATTTCGCCTTAGAAAGTCCACGAATATTCTCTTAAAGCATCGGCAGATCATCCCGAGAAAAATCCAAGGATCATCAATTAGTATTTCGACTAGTACTTCATTAGGAAATAGGCTTCTATTCTCTTAGAAGATATGCGGATCTACCACAGAAGAATCGAATGACCTCCCTTGGTAGATTGACTGATCATCCTTTAGAAGATCGAAGGATGTTCTCGTAGAAATTTAGCAGATTTTTGGATAGAAGGTTCAAGTATTTTTTAGTACAAGTTCCACAAATTTTCCTAATAGAAGGTCGAAGGCTTTTCTGGTACAAGTTCCACAGATTTTTTTAATACAAAGTCGAAGGGGTTTCTCTCAATTTTTCGTTCCACAATAGATGATCAGAAGGTAGTCTCATAGGAAATATACAGATCTACTCATATAATATTGTTATTTTCTTGGAATGTTGACATATATTCAATTAAAATATCTAATGATCATTGCTTAGAGACAGATCCTTCTGATTTTCCTTTAGAAAATCCTAATCGATCCCTTGGGTGATCGGCAGATCTTCGAGTTTAAATTTTTTTAATAATTATTTTTCTTTTATTATTTCATTTTCCAGTCAGTGACATGTTACAAACGGCTAAATTATTGGCCCGCAAAGGCAGTCGCCAATCAAACGGTTTGACATTTGGAGAATTTTGTGTATTGGCAGCTGATTTGAAGAGATTCCGGTAAGTTGGGATGCGAATTCTTCCATATCTTTCCAAATCTTCTAATTTCCAATATTTTCCTTTTTCTTTACAGCACATCAACATTTGGTTCAACATCGCCCGGTTATTGTGACAAATCCCATTTACTTAGCTCTCTATTGGATGATAATGCTCCAACAGCTGCTGATAGTACCGGCGACACAAATGAGCACAGCAACAAAACAACAAAAAAACATGACAACACTACCAGCAACTCCAACAACATCACCACCACAACAACAAATTGCAGTTTTCCAGGAAGTGAACTGCGCAGCACAAAATCATTTAGCAGTGTCGAGGACTGCCATAAAAATGAAAAACAACAAAAAACTGGCGAATCATCGACAACATCCGCTCCCGTTGAAGTATTTCTGGGTGGCTCATGTAATCCAACCACCTGGCGTGCTGATGTTGCCATACCCGCCCTCAAAGAATCAGGCATTTCATTTTATAATCCAGTAAGTTAATCCCCAAATTTTGTATATCATTAAAATTTTTAATGGGTTCATTTTTATTGTCTCCATTTTGCAGCAAGTTTCCGATTGGACGCCAGATCTCATAGAACTTGAGCATCGTGCTAAGGAGAAAGCGCGAGTGTTATTCTTTGTTATGGATTCAGAAACACGCGCGTCTGCTGGTGCCATTGAGGCGGCACATATAGCGGGTCAAAACTGCAAGCAGCTGGTGCTGGTCCTGCATCCGTACAGGCCTAACCAAAATATACTCAATGAACATATATCTCAGCAGTGAGTTGAAACAACCCCCATCCCTTTATCTCTCAACTTTCAATATTAATTCTGTTTTTCTTCTTCTTTTCCTTTGCAGAGAGTATATCGATTTAACGCGCAATCAATTAATCTTACGCGAACTGGTCACCCGACGTGGTCTGCCAGTGCTCAATAATATACCCTCAGGTCTGCAGCGTACTAAGGAAATTTTAGCCGGTTTTAGAGATCCTCCTTCGAATATAGCTTCAATTTTAGTGTGAGTAAAACCTGGATTCTATTTTAAAGAATTTCCCCATATTAATTTATAATCTGTGTATCCCCCCTTTAGTGTAATACGTGGTGCCTTTGACCGTGTCAATCCCGTGTATGATCACATCACTGTTGAACAGTGTCAACGTGCTCTCTTGTATTTGGGTTATGCCCAAAGTCTGGTAAATATGGATAATTTACAAAAAATCATTGCCGCTCAACGTGAAGCTTTGCAAAGTCTCAATAATGAGGGGGATAATGATGCTACCTCTGCAAATGCAGTGGGTAAAGGCAGTACAAAGTCCTCCCCCTCATCTTCGTCGTGTGCTCAAAATCCTACAAACAGCAGCAAAAATATCGCCGATCAAATTGATTTTAATTTATTCTGTGTAATATCGGCCTATTTATCGGTACTGCAGCAGGAAATACACGAAAGTGGTTGTATATCACCCATTAAGGGTACCAATGTGCCACCGCCACCAGTTTATCTCTCAAATTTGCAGGGTACGTTTATTTAATACAATTTATAAAATTTTGGTATTAATTCCTCCTCATTTTTCCTTTCAGGCGAGGACACCTTTGCCATAACCTATTTTAGCAAAAATATTTCACGCACATCAAGTAATGCCAGTGTCCCAGGCAGTGAAGAACGTCTAACCAATTCTCACGATCTATTGGGACGTAATCGCGATAGTGGCACCTCCTCACCCCAGCCCACAGAACCCTTACGCTCACGCTCTCAAACCCTTTTGGCCAAGGGAGGCAAACAACAGGTCCTTCTCAATGTGGAAACCATCGAGACCACAGAGGTCACCACCACTCAAACCATACAAACACAAGCTGCAACAGCGGCCGCAGCAGCAGCTTATGCAGCTCAACTGGTAGATATGTCTACCCAAACCTCGGTCACCGAAGAGGAAAGTGATTCAAATGATTCGGTATTTTCTAGCAGTAGTTCCATCAACTCGATCAACTACTGTGATCCATTGGCTGGCATAACAACAGCGGTACCCGAATTTCGTGATGTCTATTTGGGTGGTAGTTGCTATTTACGCACCAAATGGCGTCAAGAGCTGGCCATCCCATATTTCAAATCGAAAGGCATAACATTTCATCTGCCCGCCTTACATGAAAGTCTTAACCCCAGTCAATTGGACTTACCCGATAAGGTGGCGGCCGAAGATGATAACAATAAATCATCAGGGCCCAATTGGCGTATCAACAGCCGGCAACCCACCTCGGCAGCTAGTAATTTTATGCGTACCCGAAGAAAATGCCGTACCAATAGCAGCAGTGGCAACAAAACCAATGAAGAAACCGTAGAAGAGTTAACCATAGCTGAGGAATCTCTAAGTTGGACATTGTCACCAGTGCGACCGAATCTCTTTAATCCATCACTGTTGGACTCTAGTCGAGTCCTGCTTTTTGTTATAACCAATGAAACACGCTCTCTGGCACCCATGACATTAGCAGCTCACTGTATTGGTCTTATGTATAATGTTGTATTGGCCGTACAAATGCTGCCGGATGATTGTGTTATTGGCAATGAAAAGGTGAGTTTGGGGAAAGGATAAGAAGAAGATATAATAGATTTTGTACATAAGAATGAGGAACTCTATAGGCCTTCTATAAGAAATTAAAATCTGTTTTAACTTCTCTAAAAAAACCCTCCCATATTTAAGTCTTCGAACAGTCGATAGGTCTTCTAAAACAAGTTTTATTTTTTTTTTTTGTCAGATCCAACTTTTTATATAGTACCTGTCCGATCTTCTCTGAGATAATTGATCGATATTTCTTGATTGATATCCCCCAGAATATAGGCTGATCCTTCCATAAAAGGACTGCTTTCAGAAGATTTTCCAATAAAAGATCTACTGGTTTCCCCTCTTCTCTCCTTAGAAGATCAAATGAATCGAATATCCCCTAGAAAACCAATTGATCTTTCCATATATCTTCACTGACTAGAATATCAACTGATTTTCACTTAAAATATCGACTAATTTTTACATAGAATATCGATTGGTATTTCCACAGGAGAAGATGAGTTATCTGTCTATCTTCCGAAGGAAAATTGATCGATCAATTATCTCAGGAAACATCAGTAGATATTTTACGTGGATATCAATTGATCTTCTATATCAAGATCAGTCGATCGTCTTAGAGGAGATCAGTCGATCTTCTATGTGAGGATCCGTCGGTCTTCTATGAGAAAATCAGTGACCTTTTATGGAAGGATCAGTCGGCCAAGGAAATCAGTACATCTTAGACCATTAGATTGACCTTTCCTTAGAATATCGACTGATGGTATTTCCTCAGGAGAAAATGATGGACCACCGTTCAGAAGAACGATTTATCATCTTAAAAGATCGTCATATCTCGCCTTAGAAAATCGACAGATCATTAAATTAAAATTTTCGACCCCAAATCGATTTATGCCTGACCGTCTGTTGAAATTACGATAGAGGACCCAATATTTAAGATAAAGCTTTGCAATTCTGTACAAACATTGTTAGTACTTGTTAGTACGATATAGGTTCACTATTTGTGATATCTCCCATATTACGGTACTCGCCATTATTTGGTATTTTAGAGAGATAATTCGATTACTAATATTATCGATATTGGTCCATTTTTGAGGATAGCTCCCATATAACGGAACGACCATTACTCCGTATTTTGGGGAGCCTTGGCCAGTTTTTCATCCGAATTGTCTCTAATTTGGTACTTTGAGTTTCCATTGGGTAGCAAATCTTTCTACCAAAACCACCACATTAGATATACAAAATAAAAAATAGATATATAAAATAAATTAACAGTAAATTTTCCGGCAAAAGGTTCAGCCAATTTCACCGGTCGCTTTAAGAGATTTTGACTGCACTTCATTTTTTCTTTATTTATTTTTTCCAATTCTAATTTTTTATTAATTCTCCTTCTTATTTTCATTTACAGCTCACACCAACCGCCATTAAGGATTACAATCGTGGCCGTTCCTATTTAATCGATTTGGCCAAACGTCAGGGTGTACCCGTCTTTGATGATATTAAGGCAGCTTTGGAATGTACCGTCGAGAAGATACAATCCTACAACTCCAGGCGTTATGAATAGATTAAAAAAAGAAAATATAAAAGGATAAAAAACAAAGAAAAATATGGAACTTCAAAACAACAACAACATGCTTTGATGCCTTTTTATTATTGCATAAAACAAAATGCCTTTTTTCTAAAACCAACCAACAAAATAGATTTTATTTTTTTTATTTAGTTTACTCTTTTTTTTTGTACATACTATTTACTTAGATTATATAAAAGCGACAAACAACAACACCAACAATAAGTAAAAGAAAAAGAAATTAACCAATAACCTTATAACGGAAATTTATGTTAACATTTTTTTGCTGTTTTACTTAAATTAGTTTATTTGGTTAAGCTTAGAATTTTTTGTCTGGAATTTCTTTTACTTTTTTCCGTTTATTGTTTTATTTTCTTGACTCAAATACCTATACCTACTCCTTTTACTTTTTATTTAACCTGACCACAACAAGATGTGTATAGTACAGTGCGTTTTTTTTTTTAATTTAGTTAAATTTAGGAAATGCTAATTAATAATATTTAAGTATCCAAACAAACACACATTCAAATTCAATGCATTAACATATAATAGACTATTAATTATAAATAATAAAAATGAAAATAATATATTAATAATAATAAACAAACAAAAAAAACTAAATTAATCCTAAAAGTATGCTTTGAATTTTTTCTGAACACATGTTGAAAGAAATTGTCATATTTAGTCTCTCAGTTTTTGTTTTTTGATACAGTGTTGCCAATGGATGAGAATATTAGTTTTAGGTGCATTTAAAATCTTAGGTTTTATAAATTAGAAATTTTATTTAATATAAAAAAATTCAAAATCTAATTAATTATATTCGGCAAAATTTGTATATTTAAATTTATTTTATTTGAACCTAAATAGTTAATATTTATGATTAATTACCGATTAATTTAAATGAATGGTTGAAAAGGGTATATATAATTCGGATCAAATCCTTCTAGATTTGATAGTTTTCGTTAAAATACTAGTCCGAAAGCGCGGAATAAACCTCAAATCCACGTTTACAAAAAATTTAGAAGATAGCTTGGATTTAAAAAAGTTATTAAAAGAAACAAATTGAAGAGGACTATCAGAGCTAAGAGCTTGGAGTTTTTAAACATTTTGGAAGGACTATCAAAGTTATTAGCGTGTAGTTTTAAAATAATAATTTTCTTAAAGTAATCAGAGCTAAAAACGTAGCGTTAATTTTTCAAGAGCCTTTCTATGGGAGGTATTCCGAATCTTGGTACGATCAATTTTTTGACAGTTGCTTTATGGACCTAAGTGGATATAAATTGTCAATTTTCATTGAATTTGGTTACAAATTAAAGATGTTATAGGCCAATTGAGAGACATTTTTAAGACCAATTATATGGAAGGTATTCCAAATCTTGGTCTGATCTATTTAGTTTTTTTTTCAGTTGCTTTGTGGACCTACGTAGATTAAAATTGCCAATTTTCATTAAATTTGGTTGATTTTTTTTATTTTATTTTATAGACCAAAAAGGGTACAATTCTCAAGGCTCACTATAGGGGAGGTATACCAAATTTTGGTCCGATCTATCTTGCTCTTTAGCGCAAAAATAATCACTTGTACCCAATTTCATCCGCCTACAAAACCAATTTCTATTTTTGGCCGCTGTTAATATGAACTCGCGACATAGTGTGTCATGCGAACAAAAATACCAAATTACAGAGAATTTTATTTAAAAACATGTCAAAAATCCCGATAATATGGTACACCCCCATTTTATGGGGGCTACCCTAAAGCGTGGGTCAAAATTAAAAAAATGTGTTATACAAAAAGAACCCAAAATACAATATTACCGAATACGGGGGATCGCCATTATATGGTGGCTACCCTGAAACTTGGATCAATATAAATAATTTCTAGTACGGAGATGTACAGCGAATTCGGTTGGAAAACATGTCCAAAATCCTCAAATGACCGAATATTGGGGGTACCGTTAAATTAGGTGCTACCCCAAAACGCGGACTGATACATGCCCTTTGCAATGCCAAACATCCTAGGAGTACTAGCAATGTCTGAAAGTTTTAAGAGCTCTATCTTAAATATTGCGATCTCTATCGTTATTTCAACAGTCGACCAGACAGACAGATGGACATGCGTAAATCAACATCTATGTCGATACATTTTATTCTAATCAAGAATGGGGTCTTCGGTGAATATTTTAAGGTTTGCAAACGGAATGACAGATTCAATATACACTCCACCCTTTGGTGTAGGGTATACATTTTTTTTTAATTTTTTTTTTTTTTTTTTTTTTTGAATTTAGGTGGCCTTCGATCGGATTTAAGACTGCATTAGGATCTCTATATATTTTTTATTTAAATTATTCTCTATTATGTGTAGCTGTCTCCGGCTGGGATTGGGGATTGATGTCAATTTTTGATATTGGTCTACACTTTATTTATAGGCCTTAGAATGAAAGTGGTGTCTATAAAAAGTAAACTTTTTATGTTTCCTATTATAGTAGAAAATAACGATATGACAATATAATACGATGCACCATCTATGGTAAAAAATAGAAATTTTGAGGTTTAATAAGTCTTTTTTTGTCGGGGTATTATTTAATTTAACAAATATATTCTATTTAATTCATATTTTATGTTTAATTGTACACTTTATGGATATAATAATGAATCTAAATAAATACATTTTCCAACAACCTATACGGCAACCCTGGCACGATCAATATAAAGTTTTTTATTTGAAAAGCGAAACTACCGCACAAAGTAGTTTCTTGCATGGCGTGTTAGAAAAGGATAGCAACATATGTTAAGCTTTCATGAACACTTGTGCCCACTTACAAGTGTTCTCCATTGTGAGTTGACAACTCATATCCAAATTTCTCTCAATCTACTCTCTCACCCGTTGGGTGTTTTTTGTTGTTGTTAGTGTTTTGTATTGGACAAAGCTTAAAAAACTACGATAATTTAGTTGGCCGCCAGTAGCGACATTGACGGACGTCGTTTGCATTGTGTTTATTTGTTGAGTGAGTGCTGGTTAAATATTTTTTTATTATTGTTTTGCTGTTAAATGGAGCTGCTACTGTTGTTGTTATTGATGATGATAACACAACAATAACACCGACAAGAACAACTCTGAAATATATGAGAAGCTGTTGTTGGTTTTCGTTCTGTTTATTTTTTGACATTTCGCGGTGTGATCGCATAAAGGAAACGACAGACAACAAAAAAGGCGGTGTCTCTCTTCCGCATCCTTCGGCTCACACAAAACAAAAACAATGAAGTTCGTGTTCAAATGCATAACCGCCTCTTAACCAGTAATCAAGTGAAATATTTATGCAATCTTTAATTATAAAAAACTCAATTAACCAAAAACGAAGAAAAAGTACAATAGAAGAAACCAGAAGAAGCAAAACAAAACAACAAAACTTTAATTTTGCGCAAAACAAAATGTAAGAAAGAAGAAGAAAAAGCGGTCGTTCGGTCGGTGGCTTTTTGGCTTCGTTTGTTGCGTGCAAAACAACACCAAACCACACCATCATCGAATAAATGAGAAAATTCCCCTAACTGAGAGTGCTCCTCAATTGATTGGCGGCAGCAAAGAGCACAAAAACCTGAGAGTTTGACATGAAACCCCAACAAGCACAAACGCGCAGACATCTTAAAGAGTTTATCTATCAGCCAGTCATTCTTTCTTGTTTTCCACTACAATATGTAAATTTTTTAGTTCATACCACTAGTCGGGCGGCATTTACAGCGTGGTGATGTGTGTGAATTAAAAGAAATTTCGGTTACGCGACATTTTCTTTAACCAAAAAAACAAAAATCTCATAAAAAAAGTGAAAAGTGAAAAAATAATTGCAAAAGAAGCAGTCAAGTGTAACTGATTTTCCAAAGAAACGAAAATATTAAAAAAGAAGAAACAATAAGTGAATAACAATAATGACGACAACAACAACAATAAAACAAACCATACCATTAACACTAACAAAACTATAATTGTGTTGACTGCAGTAGAGTTCAGTAAACTGTTAACCAAAAAAGAGCAAGAGTAACAACAACACACAACATTAATCATTACTCTCTCTCATTATTATTAGAAGTGTAAGAAGAAAAAAATAAAAACAAAAACAAACATAAAGCAAAAACAGTCTTGTTTTTGACAAATCTCAACAGAACTAATTGTTTTCTGAATGAATAACAACACAGCGGTATGGTATTTATTAACCCCGCATCCCCCACTTCCCCTCCTCTTTAACACCACATCCACCCATCATCAATGGGTCATCATCTGGCTGTCTGTCTGTGGGTTTTTATTAGCGAGCGCCCCCACCACCACACATTTCAACAGATGTCTTGTTTATGAAATGAAAGTGAAACGTAATGCAGAATCTGAATCGACAAAAATAAACTAACAATTTATTTTTTCTGCAAAAATAAAACAAAAAAATTATTTAACTCTCTCCTTCCCCCTCTCTCTCATACATTCGTTCGTTCATGAACCAACAAGTGTTTGCAAACTGTGTAAACATATTATAAATTTTTATTAAGAAATTGTTATAAATCTCGTCACATATTGCAAATTTAAGTGTATCAACGTCAATGTAAGTAAATCAGCTAGACAAAAAACAAAAAATAAAAATAGTGAAAAAAAAACAAATCAGAAGACGTCTTCGCGGCATAAATACACTAAAATAATAATAATAATACGTAACGTCAGAGACATCGTCCATTATCATTGCTCGCACAAAAGTGTTGTCAATTTAGTGATTTTTGAAAGGTGAAAAATCGCTAAATTTGCATGAAGCGCACTCTGGCAAAAATTCTATTTTACTTCGAAATTTGGCAAATTAAAAATGTTAAACTAATTTTTGAATAATAACAATATATAAAATTAAAAAAAAAATGAATTAGTCCTATTTTTTTCCTAAGGTGGACATTTTTGACCTAATTATAGAACATGAAAAACAAAATTATGTCGTTATAATCAGGGCTCCTTATAGGGTTATCTCTGGTTCAAAATTTCACAATGAAAATATTTTT